TAAAAGAGAATCCAATTGATTTGCAGCGTGGTGCAACAGAAAAGAGCATCACTACAGTTCTGTGGATACATGGCTAAAATAATGGGCATTATGATTTCTGGTGAAAGGAGGGGGAAGCTGCTAGTAATACAAGAGTAACCTCCTTCTTTCCTATCTTCTCTCTGTGCTCACAAAAAAGCCATGCGGCCTCCCAAGTAAAGAAGTTGCTGTTAGCAAGGTGCCTTGCCTCATTTCTACCTAAAGCTGTCATGGAACAAAGAACATTGGTAGCAATACACAGCACAGCCAGAGAATACAGCTGCCTAATTCCTAACCAAGCCTGTACCACCTTTGCTCTGAGAAAGAGGTCAAGCATTGCTCTTTATGTGCCGAAGTTGCCCTAGTTGGCTTAGCTTTGGTTTTAATACCATAGCTGGAAAAACATGCTAATTTTACCACCTCTCTTTTGATAATTCACCCCCCCCCCAAACAATTAAGTACCAAACAAGTTTTAGAAAAAGCAGAGTCTGAAGATCTGGATGCTGTTAGGAGCCATGCAGGGTCTAATTCTGGCTTGGCTGCAAACTTAATTTGTAGTCTTGAATAAGTCAATTAAATTCTTCTCATCAAGTCTTCCCTCAGTAAAATTGAGAATAATTACTTGCCTTGTAGAGACACTGCAAAGACGAAGAAAGTCTTGAAATAGTTTGTTGAAGATGTTAAAATCTCTTAAGAATTATGGAGAAACCTCAATTAGGATTTATAAAAAGGTTATTTGAAAACACCATGGGATAAAAAGTATCATCACTGAAACTAATTAATGAAATAACAGTGCTGAAAAACTTCTCAGATGTGAAGGATGGAACATAAATCTGCAGTTGCCTGGAGAGTATATTCAGCTCAGAGAACCAACTGCTCTTTATTCGCTATGGTGGAACAAAGTCAGTGCAGATACACAAGGAAATTCTTGTACCCTATGATACTCTTTAATAGTGTCTTCCATCATTAGTGGTCTTTATTATTCATGACCTATGGGCCTTTAGCTGGAATCTGTCCTGGTGTCATTGGTACCACAGACACAGAAGATAATGAAGTTCCCTGTGCCAAAGAGCTTACGGTCAGAGATCCCGAATGTCCAGCAGTGTACCTCACATGGGGATGAGACCATAAATGTCACCAGCTCTGTTTACAGACATAAAATTAGTTCATGTAAATGCATCGTCATGAGAGATAAACTGAAATACCTCATGAGAAATGTCACATGGATTCCCCTGGCAGATGCATGAACACAGTGGCATCATTATGGCTGGTGAAATCCCAGCTGTCAGAGTACACCAGTTGCTTACATGTGCTCTATGTGCACACTGAGATATGTGAATTTCAGGGAGGAGGCCAGGAAGAGGCAGGGTAACTAAGTGGCCTTGCAGAGTCTTAGATAGATCTCCTCTGGTTTTGGCAGCCCAAGATAAAGCACAACTGTATTTGAAGAAAACTTGACCTTAAATTTACAAAGGCAGACATTACTGGCAGAGCACAGGCCAGTACCGTCAGCCTGTATGAGACAAAACACAAGGTGGGACCATGATGTGATAGACCTTAAAAGTGAAAAATAGAAGTTTGAGCTGATACATAGAGAATAAAAAGCCAGCAGAGGAAACAATAAAACCAAAGACACAGCCAGCTTGCAATTTTATACATGCAGATCTTGGCACATCCTCAAAATTAATTGTTAACTTAGTAATAATAATGCTCTGCTCAAGAGATAATTATCTTGTACCCAAATGCACATGGTCCTTCTCCCCCATCTTGTACTGAAGACAAATAATAGAAAACAAGGCTATCAAGTTTGCCTTTTTATAAAGGACTGCTGAGGAGTAGCCCATTTGATCCATATCATTTTTCACAAGTGATAATGTAATAAAAAGATGGATCAGTTAAGAAACCCCTGCCTTATCCCCACCACACTACTTGAGATTGCTGTGCAACCAGTTCCAGCCTCTATCTGATACAGCAGAGAATGTAAGAGAGAGTCAGACGTTGCCAAAAAAGCATCAGAAGAGCTAATTCAAGTTCACACCCGTTTCCTCCACTCACTCTTCCCTTATATACTACCTTCCTTTTCCTCTGCTCAATCCTGCATCATTGGCTGTGTTTTATTAGAAGAGGTGCATACCGCCTGCAATGGGGAGGGCTGGGAGTGATAAGAGGGCTTCTGCTGATTTTGGGTTTTATTCCAAATTGAGTACTGGCCATGCTTACAAAGCAAAATTATTTCCCCTGTTCCTCTATTGCTATATACACACAGGTACATACAGACATCTAAACACTTTTAGAGTTACAGTGAGGAGTAAGGGGTGGGATATTCAGGTATCTCTCAGTTATAGCTATTCCAAACTGCAGGACACACAGCCGCACTGAAAAGCGATGGGCCGTTGCTGTGATTTTACACACATGGTGAAAGCCAGACCTTCCTCTTTTCCTTGTTCTCATTTGAATAAGTAGCACAAGGTTGCTTAGCTCAGTGCCTGGTTTCTCTGGGGCAGTAGACTTGCACTTTATGCTGTTTGCTTGGTGATATATTGGTGTAGTGCAGGTCAGGTGATGTCCTTGAAGATATGGGTCTGTTCATATGATTACATATCTGTAGTTAACACTGCACAAGCTAAACCAGAGCCTTACAGGACTCTTTCCGTGCTGTATGAGTGAGGAGGCACCAGCTGCTTCTTAGCCCAAACGTCCAGTTGCATACAATGATCTTTCTAGGTGTAAAATAAATGTGTTCTCTGCTCAGGCAACCTTCCTCTGCCAGTAATAGTTACTAACTTGCCAGTTCACTAAGAGCTGGTCTCCACCAACCAGTCAAGGTGCTAAACTGAGTGCTGTTTGCACACAAGTCTGTGTGTGGATGCTTGTTTTGACAGCTCCATGGTCTATTTTGTTTGTATGGCATTCAGTCTCATCTGCAGAAGGTGTCAGTGAGACCTGATATCTGTGGGGAGAGGTAAGAAACAGGTATTTTGCCAGTTCTCTTCCTACTTTCAGCCGTTTACAGAAACGAGGAACATTTTGATTTGGTATCCCAGCCGAAAGTCACTATACTCAGGCAGGTGCTGGCTTCTCCACCAGCACGTGGCTGAACACAGGAGTCACGCTGGGGACACCTTCTAGTCACGTTCCTTTCTGAGACAACCTGCTCCCTGATGTGAAAGGTGAGGAGAGGGGAGTGGGCTGCCTGACTAAAGAATGCCTGTGAGGGCCAAATTCCCTTTCCAGTGGCTGTGCAATAGATTTTAAGAAAAAAAAAAAAAACAACCAGTGAATAAAAGTATGTCAGGATGGGGGGTACATGAATTCAGAGCATTCAAGGATGGTGATTTCTGTACAACCTGCAAAGACTCTTGGGAGCAGAGACCTCAGCAGGCTGGGCACGTACATCCTGGTGCGAGCAGGCAGGTGATAGCAATAGGTGATGCAAGGGCATCTCTGCATGGCAGAGCATGACGCAGCACAGACTCAGCAAGCAGCACGCTGCTGCTGTTGATACCTCTGATGACAATGTGACCGTCACCATCTATGACGCTACATAAAACCAGTAGCAGCAAATGTCTGCTTCATTCATGCTGCTTCACACCTCTGGTGGCCTTTGTGCCATTCTGGTTTAGGTTGGCTGTAGTGATCACTGTCTTCGTAAGATGTTTGTAAAAGTTATGAAAATGTAGAGTTCTCCTGTAGAAAGCACATGAGAATGAAAAACTGCAGACCTCCAAGACAGAAGGAGTAAAAGTAAATTCAGTGCAATAGAGGTCCGCTTTCTGAAGATATTAAACAGTTTTAAGACTATGCTAGTCTAAGTAAATGAACACACCCTTTTTATTACTGAGGCAACCAAAGTGGGGAGAATGGAAACAGCCTGTTATAGGTAAAGCCAAATGAGATGTTGCCTAGTAACTCTCAGCAGGGAAGCATTTAAACCCGGCCAGTTTAGTGAAGCTGATGTTCTGACTCAGAGATTATTTTCTCTGGAAAAAAGTCTGAAAGCAGGAAAGCTCAATTTAACAAACATACAATTTATTTTCCTGTTACAGCAAACCATGGTGACAATGCTTGGGAGAATACAGAAGTATTTACAAACTTGTACAAGGAAGAACAGACAAGGCATGTTTTCAACAAAAGCATCGCTTTACTGAATTTTTTTTTGATGGTGATTTTTTCCCCCAAATACAGTGAACATTAATTTTTATTTTCAGATTCTGAAATACACAAGTGATAACAGAAGTCTGGAAACATTACACAGATCATTACATTATTATTATATTATTTCTGTAAAAGGAAGTTCCTGGAACAAACCCTACTTTAGCTCTGCTATTGGACACAGAATCAAAGTCATTGATTGAAAGGAAGAAAGACTCCATGTCCCCACTGGTTCCATTGCCTGGAATAGTTTTAATTAGGCCCTCCTTCAGGACTTTGCTTTTATGGGTTCATGGAAAAGTTACTTGGCCTGGCTAAAGGTCTCTCACATCAGGGTAGAACCCCCCCCCCCCCCTTTTTTGGGGTTTTTTTTTTTTTTTTCTTTCAAGAATGAGTCCTTGCAGAAATAATGTTATTTTTGCTTCCCTTTAGAAGGATACGACAATTTTACAGAAGTAGAAGCTCTGGCATGATCAGCCATATACATCTGTATTCCTGGGTGCCACAACTACTGTTCAGCACAGGCAAGGTCAGGTTCAGTAGAGCACTTCATTTCAGCAGCCTCAATACAGTTAATTATGATAGTTGTGAATGTGAACTATTGCATAGATTTTTTTTTAATTAAAAAAATACAATAAACAGATCAACACAGATCTGCCAAAGAGTTACTGCAAAAATATGTATTTTATCAACACTGGTAATAGCTGGAAAGCAAAGCTGCAATGGCATAAGTACTAAAATTTGAGTTCTATATTAAAAGTGTGAGAGTTTTTTACTAGCCTGTTGTACAAGGATGTTCTGTAAGCCACAGCGATCCACTTCTTACTGACCAGAGCCTGATTTGAAGTTTAATGAAACACTGTTGATACAGAACCTCTGCCCAGAAGGTGTTGGACCATCATCAAACACATGGCCTAGATGGGCGTCACACTGCAACAGAAATTATGTACCATTATTACCATTACAATTTTGGACCAACATTATGCTGGTACCTACTGTGCTATCTTGAAAGAAGAAACTTGTATGATGAATACATGGTTGAGTTGTGTGGGTGGGGGAATCTTGGGGAGAGACTAGAAATACATCCTGGAATAATCACTTCTGGCCAGCAGGCAAATATCTGCCCCCAGACAAGCAGATTCCGAAAGAGGAAGTCAAAAGGTACTAATGCCAGAAAGTACAGGAAATAAATGGGAGGATCTAGAGTTCTCAATACATAATGAAAGTTTCCAGTTAATTGAGACAGTCACTGTAGGTCCTTCTCATAGGTCAGCTGAGGATTCCCCCCCCATTACTGATGGGAAAAAGACAAAAAAGATGCAGAATAGCTATCAGTGGTTCATTATAAAATTGGAAGGTTGTCTTCAGCTGGGGTTCTTGAAAGGTGATTGCTGGATATTACTGCAAACATGAACTATACCGTGATAGTGGACTGCAATGAATACTTGTCACATTTGCAGATAATACCTAATCCTGCTAGAAGGGGCTGCAATTCATTAAACTCAATTGCATACTTTTGTATATTAACAGATGTAATAAACAGAACAGACTCAGGGTTGGGAAGAAGTGCTTCGGGGTGGCGGTTCTTTAGAAAAGGAACTGGGTATTACAGCAGGTCCCAATATAAGTGTTGGTCATGGGTTGGGGAAAAGAAAAGGTGTGAGGGGAGGAACACTACCAGGACAGGAACAGCTACCATGGAAGGGTGGCTTCTGTGAAATAAGAGAACCCATAGAAGACAGCTGTGAAGATGCATGGCACCACCACTGCCGTGCAGGGCAAATAATAATAATCCTCAACTGCTGCAAAGCAAACTTAGTGTTTTCCCCAGTGTCTAACCAATCGTAGGAAGACACGAACATTACAGGTCGTTACCTAGTGAGGCTGGGGACTCTCCATCACTGCATATTTTAAGAACAACTTAAGCAAACATTTAGCAGGACTGAATTAGGAAGCACTGGCCCTGTGGTGGGGCAAATGGGTGGACTAAATCTCAGAGTCCCTCCTCCTGTCTGTTGTCACATACTGCACTTCACCAGAGGTCCTCTGAATAAATTTTCTGTCTAAACTCAAACCCTTGGCTATACTTACACAACTACTCTCCCCAGTCACATAATTTTCTTCATCCAAACCGACTGTCTATATTAGATATTTAGAGATCTACTCACGCGTTTCATACCAGGAAGTGAGACAGAATAGTTCCAGTGATACCGTAATTCTCACGGCTACATTTAGGTAGATTTGTTCATGGGCACAAAGAAAACCTTGTTAAGTTTTAGGTCTTTGTGTATCACCTCCAAAGTAAACATACCTGTTTGCAGATCACTTCAGTTCTAGTTGATCCCAGCGAGTTATTGGGTCGTCTCATGATATTGGTATTACTTTCATCTCTGCCACAAGTACCATAAGCCTCAGAAAACGACGGCCATCCAGTCCCAGAATTGTACTTCTTTTCCGAGCTATAGTGGAAACCAGACCTTCTTGTTAATTAATAGCAGAGATGTTACAAAAAGGTCTGGTTTTAATGAGAACATTGGGTTTTTTCCCTCATCCTTGTCTTGTAATACTATTAATAGTATTTGGCACAGTAGAAGTTTTCTCACTGGCATCAAACTGTGCTGGAAGCTCTTTACCAAAGGGAATTCTCGATCAGCCCACAACAGGAGCTTTTGCCTCTCTGTTTCTATTTCACTGATAGTCTGGTATTTTATAAAGCTTGAAAAAGGTTTTTCCAACAACTGAGCACATTGTTTAGCTGAATTACACCTCCAAAGTTGCAGTTCAAAGCCTGGCCCAATACAGCACAACCTCAGAGAAGAGAGTTTACAAGAAGAAACGAAGTATGGAAAATGAGTACGGAAAATGGCTGGGTTGGCCCACTGGATCAGGCTCACGTCAGATGATGGCTTCGGCTTGCAGTCAGCCATCAAAACGGTTTGGTAAATCAAACAGAGCCTTGCTCAAACCGTCAATCAACAAATGACAAATCCTCACAGCGCAAAGATCTACTTTTCCCAAGAGATCATTGCAGCCATCAGAAACAGTCCTACAGACTGTCAGCCTGTGGGTGCCTCCTGTTAACATCCAGGATTACCAGCTCTGTTCAGGTGCATGTTAAAACCTCGAGCAGATTGGAAAATATGATCAGAAAATATTTTGGGGATTTAGCAGACAGAAATGAGATAATCCCTCCTATTTAAAGTTGTGCAAGTTTTGCTAGCCATAAGTGCTTTCTTCTAGCGAAGAGTGACCTAGTGTGAGTTAGAGCGAGAAATGAAGACAGATTCACACACTATAGGACCAGTGGTCTGGAGCCCCACCAGGAGCGTTTCCTCCCGGTTTCCCGTGTATCCCATTTCACAAACCCCGTGCTCCTGCTGGCACCTAGTGGTGGATGGGGACACCAACACCCGCAGCAGCTTCCCTGCCACCAAGGGAGTAGCACATTAGCCAATACAGAATTTAAAGCAACGTATCTAGTACATATCATGTATATTTTGGTGGGATATTAATACAGTGAAGAAAAATCTGAGACTCTTACTTGCGGTGCCTTTTAGAAAGACAAGACAAACAAGCAGGCAAAAAGCTTAAAAATATCCAACCCAAAGAACAGTGCCTGCTTTAGCATGCATTTTATAATTAACTGTATGGGGCTGTCTTTGAGCAATGCAACTGTGGAAATAAAAGAGGACTTGCAAACACAGAATGACCAAAGGCTAGTTTTTGTGCGGGCTGTTGCTCAGTCCATTACATTAATCCACAAAGACCCGTGAGAAAAGCTCTCCACCTCCTCCCCTCCTTAAAACCGAGGAGCAATAGGAGACAGTACAGAGGCAGGCTGCACCGAAGCAAATGCACTTTGCAGTTCTGCGTCTGCATGAGAAGGTATTTAAGGCTCCACGCCTATTTCTTTCCAGCTAAAGAGGGCCCTCTGCCATCCCGGCTACACAGCCATCCAAACGCTGTGCCTACAGGCCACAGCTTCCCAAAGGAAAACCTGGGGGAACACAAATGCCTGTACACCACTTCCGAGTTTCTCTGACATACCTGTGCTGTTTCTTTTTTTTTTATTTTCAAAAGATTTCAATCAGAACTCTTCATTTTCTGACACAGGGATCCTTCTGCTTATTCATACATAGATGTGAGGATCCTCTCTGAAACCCTCTAGAGTCAAGGAAGGTCTTCAGTGCTGTGTCGGTTTTGCATTTGACCCTGACTGAGTCCGTCCCTTGCACGCCGCTCACAATACTTAAGTTTATTGTAGATGTTTTCCACTGCTAAATGACCAATCTTTTGAGCTGTTAAACCAGCTCTCAACAGAAATGGTCTCTGTATGGTTTTACTAACAGAAATATCACTTAGATTCCCTAATAGAAGCATTTTAGTACCCAAAAATATTGCTGTTCAGGATCATATTTGTCCTTTGAAGTATTTTGCCACTTAATTTATGGATAAATGGACTTTCCCTAAACATATGCATTAGATTAGCCTTCGACACACCATTCCTCCAGCACATGTCATTTACTTTGATCCCTATTTCAGTTGTCCTGGATGGAATCCAGATAATTCTAAAAAGTGCTTTTTGCTGTATGAATCTCAGCTGTAGGTTTATGGTTCGCTGAAGGTTTGAGATTTCATTAAAGCACCACAATTTGCTATCTATAAAGGTTAGGGGTTTGTTCCATGTATTTCCAACTCTTTCAAATGAGTATTTGGTAGCAGAAGGTAATAAATTCTGATAGAAATGTATACACACACGTGTACTTTGAAAGAAGGAGAAAATGCTGCATGTTTACCTGTAGCTAATGATCTAATGCATTTGAAAAAGAAAGGACATTTTTAATGCACTAAGAAATAAACATGATGAATGAATCTCTTCTCAAATACCTGTTTTTTCCCCTCATTGTTAGCATCCTCCACAACATAATGCATTAATGGAAAAAATATTTTCAGACCATTTTGCACATGTAATAATTTTCAATTTTCTTAAAAGTTTTTTCTTTTTTTAAATTTCTCTGTATCAGTTTGTAAAGCTCAGCATTACTTTATGCTTTAAAAAAAAGTACCTATATTCCCTGAGACCTGGATACTGCAAAAAGCAGCATGATTGATTGGTTATATTGTTGTTTTGTTATTAGTTTAGCAGCAGAAGGAATTCCCTTCAGTACTCTTCTCTCTTCACGTTGGCCTGTCAATATCTGTCGTCTAATATAAAGGATGTCTGAATTGAAGGAACATTTGAAGCAATTGAAGGAACTCTTCCACAGCTTAGTAATTTAAAATTTCTCTAATTTATCTGAATTTTCCAGAGGTGTTTTTATTTGTCTTCAGAATATTCTGCAATGCTGCACTAGCTTCTGAAATAATTTTATTTAAAAGTGCTTATTAGCAAACCTTTACAGAAAAACATACATTTAATCAAATGTTCATTTGCATAACAACAGTTTTCTGTACTTGGCCAAAGGAAAACTAACTGTTCACAATTATCAGCCTTCAATTTTACTGTTTAATTGCTTAGCTTATATTTATTTTCAATACAGATGTTACATCTTTTCCCCTCTTACTATCCAGACCTCTCACTCCTCAGCGTCCCATTTGAAGTTCTGATCTGTGATACATCCTTTAAAGTCTTCATAAAAATGGCCATATCAGCCATATTCCATTGAACTCGCAGTTGGGAATATATAAAGGCTATTTTCTAGATCAAAAATATGAGGAACTGTCTTTTTTGGTTCAGTTACAGAGAACAGAACACCCTCTGCATATCCTACTCCGAGGCACTCTATTTCCTTTTACTTAGACTTTAATGAAGTTGCAAAATATATAGTATTGTAAAGAGCACAGAGGTTAATAACGCAGTCATTTGCAGCTGGGTTTTAAAAAGTAGATGTAACCAAAAAGGCAAAACCAATGGAATTTAATTTAGGGAACAAGAAGGGGGTGGGGGTGAAGAGGAGGTCTCAGCTCCAGTACGAGGGACCCAGCGGTAAGAACACAACAGCTAGACTAAGGCAGACCAAAAGTCTCTTTAGCCCAGTAGCACGAGCGGCAGAAGATGACTATGGAAGAGCACAAGAACAGAGCAAACATACAGTGATACTTATACATAAACACATGTATTTTGTGGCAACTTATGGCTTAGGGACCTCTTAAACAGAATTATTATCAACCAAAAAGGACCGCCTGTGTGACAGGAGAAAAAGGCAGACCTTAATGTAGCAACTGCTGTCTGCTGGCCACTGGAGACCCTCATATGCTCAAGAAAAGGGCATACCAGGTACCTGTATCTCCACAGGTATCCTGGAAATCTTACACATAGCACTCTGGCACCAAAGAACTGTTCTTCTGACCTACATTTTCCATTCCTCTCATGAAAAGACACTGCCCCTCCTGCCACAGTTAGGACATTTTAAGGATGCTGTGAAATCTAAAGGATGTTACCTGAACAGTGGGGCGTTGCAGCACACGCAGTAGTATATTCCCGATTCTGTGTTATTCAGATAGATCCCACTAAATGGCTTTTTAAAAAGGGAGAAAAAAAGAGAAGTTAATAATGCAGGTCTTTAAAAGCTCACCATCTGGAACAAGCATGTAGGAATCAGACTCAAAACAGGAGAAAAACCATAAAAAGAAAGCTTCACAGGGGGGCTTTGAAGAACAAACATTAGCAGCCTAAAGAAATGAAGGGGAGGATGCCTTTGGATTAATAGTGAAGACTACCCCCTGCCCCCAGAAACTTCGAGACCAGTCAGATGCATAAATCATCCAGGTACCAGGGCTGGAGTCGTGACCTCCAAGGAACTTGTGCAATGTGCAGGATCCCAAAGACCAGGGCTCTGCTATGGAGTGCCACAACTTCAAAGTGGCTCTACAAAGGGACTCTCCTCCTCCCTGCATGGTCTGGAATTAGGATCTTTATTTTACAGATAAGGATTTGGGCACGATTCACATGATTTAATCCCACGGTACATGCTTGGTGCGTGCAGAAGCCCTGGCTCTGGGCTAGGGACGCCGGTGCTCCACCCACAACGCTGCGTGGCCTCCATCACAGAAGGAAGCAAAGCGCGGGGACAAGGTGGGTGGGTGATCTGGCACATGAGGGGTAACCTGGCTCCTGAATGGAGTGCTATGTATAAGATTTCCATGGCTAATCTACATCAAGTCAAGAAAAGGAGACTACAGGACAAAGATATGATCTTCTCCCTCCCCTCTGGAGAGGCCTCCACTACTGCCACACAGACGGCTGAGCTGGCAGTAAAGTATCCCAGAAAAAACCAAAATATGAAAAGAATGCAGAATGTTTTTTCATCTGCAAACCAGCCTGGGTCAGAACAAAATCCACCCGCTTCAGTACTTTCTTGATGAGCCTAACTTTCATCCACAGGAAGGCAGCGGAAAACCTATGAAGCAACTGAGTGGTGACAGCTCCGCAAAGCAGGTTTTTCCCTGCCCAGCAGGCAGAGGAGGTGGCTTAGCCTTGGACAGCATTAGCGCTTTTGCTTACCGGTTCAGTTCCTTTTTCTCTGGTAACATAGAATTGCTCTGGAGTCAATTTTTTTTTCCAGTCTGTAGCAACAGTTGCCTCAGCTTCTTTAGTCAGAGAGCCCGTGTCTTCAATTAGATATAGAAAGATAATTTGTATTATTTTTAAAACCATGTTAACTTAGTCCTCTGTTGATGCTTTCCATCATCACCTCAGTTCTCCCAAAGTTTCTATGGGTACAGACAGAGCACAGGAGGGCAGGTCAGGGACATAAGAGCAGGAGCAAGTGCAGGACTTTGCATCTGCTTTCCATTCTGTGTGCTACATAAGGAGAGCAGCTCCAGCACATCACTTGGGAAGGCTCTGAATGGAAACGGGCACCTACGACCCATGGCACCATCCCCTCTCCCAGCACAGCCCTCTGCTCTGGCTTGGGATAACTGCCAGTCTGCTGGTGCTCCTTCCTCATCCCTGGGTATCGCTGAAAGGTTTGGTAGTTTGCCTTTTGGAAACCTTCAGAAACCAGAACTAATGCTCATGTATGTGCTATCAAAGACTAGCAACTTCCACAGGCCTCGGTGAAAACTGGTGCTAAGAAGGAGCACTGGAAGAAAGCAACACCTACAGCCCAAGAGGAGCGGGGCTACAGTTAAGTGGGTGGCACACAACAGGAGAGCAGAAGTCACCCATCATGGTGCAAACCTCCAGCACCGCCTGCTATGACTCTGTACACACTGTGCAGCACATTTATGGTGGCATGAGATTGGCAGAGAATTGATAGATTGGCTGAAAAACAACAAGTAAAATAGTTTCATTCCTTCCTAATCAAAAAGTCTGAGGTGGGAAACTACCTCCACACTTATCTCCCATCAGCATACGTGTGAAAATACCAGCTCCTGAGTGATGAACACTTGCCTGGACTCATCTCTTGCAATGCTGAGATCATATTGGGGAAAAAAAAAAAGGAATTTGAAAATGACAGTTTAACTATAAAAGCTATAGTTTAGCCTGCCAGTTCAAGAGAAATACCTACAGCAGGCTGACTTAGCCCTTTCCAGCCGGCTAGAGGACACTGGGGACAGGGATGCCCTCCCCTCGCAGGGCAGCTCCTGCCCTTTCCCCGCGCCTCCCCATGCTCCGGGCGGAGGGTACCTGTGCCACTGCGGGAGCTCTGCGGCGGGGAGTGGAGGAGGAGGAGGCGGCGGCGGCTCCGGAGAAAAAGACAGACCCGCCATATCGGCGGGGCGGGACTGGGGGAGCTGCCGGCTGCAGCCGGCACGTCTAATCTGTGCGTTCAGCCTAAATAATTGCACCTTATAAAAGCAATGAGTAAAACACGCACTCACATACCAATGCAGGATTTGCAGGTAAAGGTTTCAATCACTTCTTAAAAATTGAACGATCGCTGCAGCCATAAATAGGACAAAATCCTGTTGAGGCATTTGCTTGCAGCTGTTATAGGTTGTTTTCAAGGAGAAGAAGTCTGGTGTTTGCATGCAAAAGTGCTCTTGCTCTCCTAAATGCATGTTCTAGGCATTGCTTTTAGTTGTATTGATCAAGTAATTGCGAAGGCGATGTGCTAAGTGGCTACTTGTTTATGCAGGATGATTTGCAGTCACAGCTGCTCTGACTTGGCCTATAAATATACCTGTAATAGGACCCATATTTTAATATGGCCTCCTGTCCTAAAAGGTGGTCCTAAACACAACTCAGTTTGCCAGGTTAAGCCTTAATGCTGTTGTCTGCTTTTTTCCCAGTAGCTCCATTTCTGATTTGGAATTAGTTCATTGTTGCTGAATGATATGGAAGGAACTGTTTTGATTGCATGGAATAACAAAGCTAATAATGGTGTTTAATAGAAAATTACTTTCTTTTTAGTCTAATTCTTCTAGCCAAATTTTAAAATCAAAGCTAAAAACCAGTGATGTGTGATCAGTCCTATATCAGTATACACAGCCTTTTTATGTCTATGTCTGAGACATATATCCTTATGTCTGAGACAGTGAGTTCAACGGCAGCTGAGGACATCCAACACAGCCTATGATCGGTACCATAGCTGTAATCAAATCCTCTGCTCAGACCCACGAAGCCATGCACCAAAAGGCGGAGAGCAGCAAGGCCCGTAGATGATTGCATTTGCTGTCTGCAGCAGCAGGGGAGAGGGGGGCACACAGTTGATTAATAGCGTTGTCCTATATAATAAGACATGGTGGAGTGAAGCCGGAGTACCTTGATAAAAATCCTGGAGACGTGATGCCTGTGAGCCCTCAGGACCGTGATTCAGGATGGTAGGAGAGCAGCACTGCTGGCCACAGAGGAGAGGGCTTCGCAGGGGCTCTCGGTGCTGGCAGAGGGCTGTGTCTATGCTGTAGGCAGAAGGACAACATTTTTCTATGTTCAGTCATTTTGGGAAGTGAAGATCAGAGAAAGATCTTTCCAAACCCCTTCTAGCTTATCCCTATGGCATCTTACACCAGTCTTCTACCACGGTTCAGGAGGGAATTGGAACATGTTAGGGAGCCTTTGGAGATGAGAGACTCAATTTGACACTCCCTCAGTTCTGGCACATGGCTTAGGGCTGGGAAGCGCTGGCAGGCGATGGGGTCGCTCCGGGGCCCACTGCTGCTGTCTCCAGCTCAACCATGGCAGAGAGGCATTCCCCTCCCATTCCTGCCCTTGGTCTCAGGCAGTGTTTGCTGCTGAGGGGGACAGGTAATCAATGGAGCTCTCCCTGAAGTACCTGGGAAATGAAGGAGGGTGAGATAAAGTGATTAGTCCTGAAACTTGCATGTTTTCATGTAATTGACATTAATTTAACTGATGGTTTTTTTAAAGACAAAATTCAATAAAAAATGAACCCTCAATATCTTCCTTGCAGCTCTCTGTTATTGGTGTTATCCCAAAATGCAGCAATTTTGGGGCAGTGGGAACCGAACCAGCACAGGTCCATTGCTGTGCCACCTTCCTTGGGCTCTGGAGGAGGGGAGCGAGCGCCTGGGCCATGCACCCAGGGGAGCAGCAGGAGCAGAAAGCATTAGGCTCATCCACCCTAGCCTCCTCATCCTCTCTGTTATCAAGTTTATTGCAAGCCACTCCTTGATTAACATGAGCGTGGTGGTGGAAGAGGCAGATCCTGTTCATGCCAACACCCACGATCCACACTTGAAGTGGAGCACGGGCAGATCAGATCCTCCATTTTTTCCCTCCAACAAAAGCCTGACCTGCAGTTCTCCAAACCGGCATGACAGGTCTTCCTCAAGCGGAAAACAACCCCCCTGGCTGGAGGTATTTCATTTTTCAGATCTTCAGTGCTGAAAAACCAAATCATTGTCCTGTCATGCCTGTAATATTGCCTCCCATGGTTACAGCACATACCAGGCTTTGTAGCTAGGCAGAGCACGGGCCTGCATTTCTCCCCATAGACTGTTATAAAAGCCAATTAGGCTGTTACTTAATTTACCTCCTTTTTTTCTCCCTTATGCACAAGGGGAAGCAGTTAAAAGTCTCCCCTAGCTACATTATGTAAATTTTCAAGTAAATTCTCCCTGAATTGTAATTCAGCGGGTTTATTGTTAAAAATGTTGCCTGACTCCGGCACATACACAAGCTGCATCCAGGGAAGGGTCACTCATCAAAAGCACAGTGTCTTATTAGATGTGCGTAAATGGGGGAGAAGCTCCTCAGCTCCTCCTGTAGCGTTACTTTGCACCAAGGCAGCAGCAGCAGCATGTGTGTAGGCGGGTGAAGGCAAGAGTAGGAGGGAAGCGGTCACGGTCCAGACTATGCTGCTAATATTTATTCGGGCCCTAACCATTTCCCAGCCCAGGCTCTGTCTTGACTGACAGCTTTGGGGACAAGCAGAGCATCACATAATGCCTACGCTGGCAGATACTGAGCAGTCAGCCAGGAAGCGGTGAGGTGCAGAAATCAAATGAACCCTGTTAAAATTCAAACCTCTGCATAGGCAGCTTTTGTTAATAAAGGCCCTCAACATTACTGTGTGCGGAATAAAACACTGAAAATAGTGGTATTTTCATTTTATATGCATTTGTATGCAATTATTTTTCCTCTACTCACTTTCTCATACCTAATGTATGTCCCCTCCCATGGGACGTTCCCGTTGAAACATATGGGAACTCGACATACAAGATTTTGGCTTGGACCTGTTATATGTAATGGTACTGCATGCCCAGGTCCCCAGAGAATGAAGAAAGGGGGACCGGCATGAGCACTTTGGTGGGTAGGTTGTGTCTGTGGCAAGCTCCATTTTCCCCACAGAAATCCTCACTGCTTTTGTAGGAGATGATCGCAGGAACTCCACATCCTTCCTCAGCAGAGTCTTCGCTCTCCTTTAACAAACTTGATACAACTCTACAGCTAGTTTCTAGCCGCTCAGATGTGATGGAACTCCCAGCTCCTGGTATACGGAGACACTGTTTCCGCATAGAAATGCTATCCAAAGGTATGCGGTAGTGCTCCAGTGCTGAATTCCAATGACAGAAAGGAATTTCAGCAAAAATTATTGGTAGCAGAAGTGCCAAAGCATCTTGGAAAAGGGTATTGCCGGTTTCCAGAGGCACAGAGAGACTGAATGCAGATCTGAACCTCCCTGAAGCTAACCCATGGATTCTGCTGAGATTAATTTGTGGAGTAGCCTGATGTGATTCAGGTCAAAGACATCATCAGAAATAATAAACACACAACTTCTTGCCTTGTTTGCTTTACAGTTTAATGTATCTTTTTGCTAATTGTAAGCTATAGGATACCTAATTATTCTGACCTCTCTTTTTAGAAAAAAATAGGTCATATTTGTGCACTAGCTGAAGCAAGAGGCTTCTGCTGGAGTCTAAGGGTGGAATTAGAATAGAATAGAACAGAATAGAACAGAACAGAACAGAACAGAACAGAAGAGTTCCAGTTGGAAGGGACCTACAGGTTTGGTCCACTGTGACAAATGCTTTGAGTTGGATGAGACCAAATGCCTGCTATAGGTCTTGTCCAGCATAAATTATTCTAGGATTCTAAATGCTTTGAGAAATTTCTTGCAAAATGAGTGAAGACATGGATTCAAAGTGAAATGGATATTTTGCAATCTCTCCTTGATAGAAGACTCTACTCTGCAATTGGGCCACCTGTTCAGCTAAATTTCATCCGCTTTGAAAAGTAGACATGCACTCTGGGATGGAGTGAGTGTATCTGCAGGGGCATCTATTGGGAAGCAACAACGGCAGGCTATTTCCCTGGATTGCCCCATGCATCCCCTATATCATACCATCCAAGTTCCTTGACCCGCATGGACAGTAATAATACATTCCCCAAACTTGTGTGTAATGTCTTATCCCTTGTACCTCAAGGTAGTGAAGAACTGTGATGGTTCTTCTTCCACCCAGCGCCCAAAGCCTGAACAAAGCATTGAATGAACAGTTATTTGGCAGCAACCGCTGTAGCAGCAGCTTTCTGTAGGTTATCTTAATGGATTTATCACCCTGAACTAAGCCCTGACCATCTGTTCTATCCTCTAATTACAAATGCAGAAAAAGCTAATTCATGATTGCACTATAAAGAAGTGAAATATAAGTGATTTAAGAGTGGGGTATGTCATGCTTCACACTCCGATTGGAAGAAATTGCTCTCCCTTCAATAGGCTGATTTCCCTGATAACAGAGTTTACCGCTTTCCCAGCAAATGGGAATTCCTGAGGAGTAGGGCTCACCAGAATGGGTTTTATTCCCACTCACTCATCTTAGATGTGTTGTAAAATTTGGGATTCATGTAAGTGCAGTTATGAACCTTCTTTCCTTCTGTCTTAGATGATCCCCAAAAATGTATTTTTAATGCATTTTCTAATTTCGGAAAGCAGAAACTCATGCTCCTTAAAAATCCCCTAAAACTCTGCATTTCCTCCATCTCACTTTTGCTGTGATGAAGATGTGTCTGGTGGAGTCACCCACTCATTTTGTGCTCGTAGCTCATCTTCACTGCAGCACTTTTGGTTTGGAAGATAGGCAGAAAGCAGGGGGCTGAGTGCATGCCCTGCTTCTCATGAATGACCTTAAATTCTTTCATACTGCCACTGTCCAAGCCACCAGCAGCGGTCATGGTTTAGCTGGGAGCTCAAGTTCTGATGCACTTGTGTGGGTAAGGACACCTGGCAATGTCTCTCCTCTGGAACTCTTATGCTAAAAACTGGATGCAATTGAACAAGTTAAGTTGAGGGGCCAAGAAATAATACCTT